AGGACACAAATCTGCATAATGACATAGGTATGACACAGGTATTACAAGAAGGTGGTGAAATATGAGGACATTGCTGATGTCCTCGCTTCTCCAAAAGCGTAGTTTTTTCAGAGAGTAAAACTGTACAGTTTCCTGTGAGGGTTGGGTTAAGGGGTAGGGTAGGGTTTTGGTAATAAAAAATAAAGTTTGTACAGTATAAAAACAAAGGAAACCGATGTAATGTCCCCACAATTCACAAAAACAAACCTAAGTGTGTGAGTGTGCGTGTTTGTTTATGAGACACACAGCAGCAGTAGTGATGATCTCCATCACCCACTCACTCACTATCTGTCTGTCAAACCGCTGCAGGAACCCACGCTTCCCACCGACAGGCGCACTTCCTGTTCACCGAGTGATCGACACAGCGAGGAGCTGCTGAACCAACAAACCACCTCAAAAGAAGAAGATCTCGACTAATACTGTGAGCAGATCATGACTGAAACACCAGCAGAGAGGAAAACCATCCTTCTGAAAGCATTGATCTGTTTTCTGACAGCCATGTGATGACATATTGATGAGAAATATTCAACTCAATCCACTGAGTTTAATTACAGTTAAGTTTTACTCTTATTTTTTTAGCATAAATAAATAAATAAATCCTTAAATATTAAAATAAATTATAAACATTTAAATTATAAAAACTGTTTGGGGTGTAAACATATGTGGGAACTACTCAGTATTCACTGGACTTACAATTAATAGTTGTGGGTTTAAGTTAAACTTCTTTTTGTTGCTGTTCTGCAAACTAGTGATGACATATAAAAATTAAAATTAGATTGTCATTTTTATATTATTATTATTAACATAATTTATTTAATAGTCATTTAGAGCATAAACTAACAATTGGGAAAAATCTATAGTGAAATAACAACAATAATAAAAATAATAATAATAAGAATAATAATAATAACATAATATACTGATAAATTAAATAATATAATAATATAAACTGACAATTGATTTAATATAATAATCTATATTAAAAATAATCATAATATACTGATATATAATATTAACTGAAAATTAAAACATTATATAATATAATACATAATAGTAACAACATAAAAAATAATAACAATAGTAGTATTAGTAATAACAACAACGTAGTAATATACTTATATACTATATAATAATATAAACAATACATTTGTCAAAATAATAATAATACATATATAATAACAAAAATAATAATATACTGATATATTATTTTATATAAATTGAAAATTAGTCTAAACAATAATTATATAACATAATATATAATAACAAAGATAATTATAATAGTAGTAGTAATAATAATAACAACAACAGTGCTATACTGATATATAATACTATAAAAGTAAATTTTGTCAAAGTATTAATATTCTGATATATTATATAATAAAAAAATAATATAAACTGACAATTGGTCAATATAATAATCTATATTAAATAATAAAATAATAATATTAACTGACCATTGGTCAATAAAATGATCTATATTAAAATTATATATATATATATATATATATATATATATATATATATATATATATATATATATAAATATAAAAATAAAAATAAAAAATATATATGTATGTATATATATATATATATAGGAATATGAATATATAAGAGCATGCAGGAATAATAATAATAATAATAATAAAAATAAACTGACATTTTAAATAAAAAATAATAATATAAACTGACAATTGGTCAATAAAATTATCTATATTAAAATTATATATATGCATAGGATAAGAACATGCTGGAATAATAATAATAATAATCATAATAATAATAGTAATAAATGACCAGAGAGTGTGTAAAAAGTATCAGTTTGAGCAAAACTCTATTTTTTGACATTGATCATCAAAAATGTTTCTTCATCATCAATTAATATAGCACATTAGAATGCTGACTTTAAAACTATTATAACTATAAACAAAACTATTATTTGACAAACGCATAAACTAAACATTTGGTTAAAAAAAAAAAAGATGCTGTACTTCCAGACAATTTTTAATCCTAACTTCAGGAGAGAATCAACAACCCATAAATCCAGCAGTGAGAATATTCAAGTGCTGAGTCCTTTTCAAAGACGCTCCGAGGACATTTTAAACACGTTTTTATGGTAATTTAGTGAATAAATAAGTCAATTAAAAAAACAAAAAGTCATCTTGATCTTAATTATATAACTCTCCCATTAATTGTTTGTTGTGGCTCAATAATACGCAAGTCATACTGCACACATTTCAAACTGCACAGTACAGCAGACAGAAAACTCATTCACCTCCACTTAAAAAAAAACAGCCTGACATTACGAGACAACATTCACCAAAGCATCTCAATGCAGATGAATAGCAGCATTATATAGAGCACTACACCCTAATGGTGGACAAACATGGTGGACCTGTGGCCTGTCAGACAGAAAACAGTGTAGTAATGGAGCATTAGAGCTAAATAAGCGGCAGAGAAGATGAACGGAGAGCCTGAGTGACATCGCTTTGAAATGAAGAGACTGAATGGGGGAGAGAGCAGCAGGGACTCTTATATGTGCTGCCCAGATGACTTTCAACACGCTAATGAATGTCTAATGAAAAGAGAGCGTCTCAAAACATCAGACACATCTGCATGGATCTGGAACACACTTATATGGTGCTTCAAATCCTACAAAAACACGAAAAACTAAAATAATAATAGTCAGCAAGGTGTATATGTGCATACACGAGCATACACAAGCTGCAAGCCATTGAAATGAATGGGTTTCATAGTGCAGTGCTTTCAGCATCTGGTGTGAAAGCTGCTTCAGATTGTGCAGTGGCTACAGCTGGAATATTGCTGGAATTTATTTCAATAAAAAAAATAATAAATTGCAGACTCAAAACTTGTATTGTTCTCAAACGATACTAAAAATAAGGCATACTGCAAAATAAATAAATAAATAAATAAAAGTAAACACAATTACTGACAATTACTTTTTTTTTAGGACTAATTGGCATTCGAAAAATCATTAATCAGAATATTAATCTCTTATGGAGATCAGAAAAAAAAGGATCTATTATTATCTGAAAGACACACAAGATCTATGATTGATTTTAGGTTAATTAATACTGTATACCAAATAATATGAGTACAATTAAAATGTGAAACATATGTTTGATATATGTTTAAAGACTAATTAGTATTTGTAGTAGCAGTGGCGCAGTAGGTAGTGCTGTCGCCTCACAGCAAGAAGGTCGTAGGTTTAAGCCGAGGCAAGACTGTGGTGGAATATATGTCGGGGAATACGACTAAAAACAGTGATGGGGACTGCAGAACACAGCACACTTGTTAGATTGATGCAGACGATGACTTGTACTGCAAAGAGACCTCTATCTCACTCATGGCTTGTCCTCTCAAGTGGTGGAAAGACGATGCACAACGTTACCCACTGCTGTCAACCTTGGCTAAATCATATCTCTGTCCCAGAAACCTCAGTCCCAAATGAGAGGGTTTTTTTCTGTTGCAGGGGACATGCCCAGAGATCCCAGCTTTCACCAGATTATAGTTATATGATCATTTTCCTTAAAAACCCATCTCTATCCAAGTGAGTGAGTAATTAAATGTTGAATGTGAGGAGTTTTCAACAATACTAAATTGAAACTTAATTTTTTTAATATGGTTTAATAGTTTTTTGTTATTAAAATTGAAAAATTGAAGTTCCTGTTTCGAAACTTACAGATAGATGGCTGATTTGTATGTCATTGTATGTTCAGTGCTAAGGTAAATAAACACTTTTGCCACTTTTTTCGAGTCTTTTCATTAGTTTTGTTTTTCCTGTAAATGATTCAATAAATACTGAACCATGCCATTCATACCGAGGTATTATCGCACCGTGAAATTCTGATACCGTTACATACCTAATAGAAAATAAATTGGAATTGGAATTTTAATTCATCTGCTGACTTTATCAAGTTGTCAACATAACATGACACACGTACTAATACAAACTATTGCAATATATCACAATATTTATTGTATCGTGATATATTGTATCGTAACCCATGTATCGTGATGTGTATCATATCGTGAGGCTCTTGACAAATACACAGCCCTAATCCGCTTGTTAAGTGTGACGTCACGCGAAGCGGCTTCCGGATCCAAGCGCTCTATTTAACTGAATGGGGAGACTCATGAAATGGTAACAATAAACGTTTACAAGGCGATTTAATGCTTTCGAAAATCACGTTCGCAGTATATATGTCCATGCCTAATATCCGATGGCCAGAAAGTGCTACATTTTTTTATAAATTGATAAATTTTTGGTATTTGTTATGCAGCAAGCCCAGAGATTGTTGTGTACACTATGATTTTATATAAAATGAACTTTAATGTGTGATAGGAATAAAACGTGATCATAAACGAATGATTTCTCCACTCAAATGAATGGCGGCTTGGACCCCGAAACAGTATTACATACGTCACAAACACGTCACCACTTAGCAAGCGGATAAAGACAGCGGCTAATACAGTTCAAATATTTTATTTTACTCTATATTTACCTGTCTATAATTTATTTTGTACTCATGAATTTTAATTCCGGCGCATTTCTACAAAATCATGTGCGAACAACTACACACACTGCAATCTGAGTGCTTCATTTGCATACTCCACACACAGTGGAAGCTATTTTATGAAATAGTATTTAGTATGCAGGAAGACTCTGCCTTCTCTCTCTTTGTGCGGCTCAACAAAAGTTTTCATTGTTTGAACATTGAGAGGAATGGAGGCACACGAGCAAAAGGTGCATAATTAGTGCATCTCATAAATGGCTCAGAGACGATAGAGGTGTGTGTGTGTGTGTGTGTGTGTGGGAGGGATGACAGAGAAAGCGAAATGCACAGAAAGGGGTATCAGAGGGGAAGCACCACAGAAAGAAATGTGCAGAAATCCTACATTGCGTTTGCTGTTTCCACGGTGTCTGCGAGTGTGTGTCCTACCTGTCTCTGTGCTGACGTCGCCATCTGAATCTGGCAGAATTTAACAGCTTGATCCAGCGCTACATCCTCATCCACCTACAGAGAGACAGAAACAAGAGAAATAAGATGAGGATTGAGTTATCGTTCATCATAATCTGACGCACAAAACACGAGCACACTCACAGTTTACATGAAGACTTCAATGCAGCTTCATGTCATGCTTCACATCATTTGGAGTATGTACAGTTGAAGTCAGAATTATTAGCCCCCTTTAGAATTTTGTATTTTTTTTTTATATTTCCCAAATGGTGTTTAACAGAGCAAGGACATTTTCACAGTATGTCTGATAATATTTTTTCTTCTGGAGAAAGTCTTATTTGTTTCATTTCGGCTAGAAATAAAAGCAGTTTTCAATTTTTTAAAAGTCATTTTAAGGACAAAATTATTAGCCCCTTTAAACTAATTTAGTTTTCGATAGTCTTCAGAACAACCATTGTTATACAATAACTTGCCTAATTACCCTAACCAGCCTAGTTAACCTAATTAACCTAGTTAAGCCTTTAAATGTCACTTTAAGCTGTATAGAAGTGTCTTGAAGAATATCTAGTCAAATATTACTTACTGTAAGTCAAGATAAAATAAATCAGTTATAAGAAATGAGTTATTAAAATGATCATGTTTAGTAATGTGTTGAGAAGGTCTCTCTGTTAAACAGAAATTAGGGGAAAAAATAAACAGGGATGCTAATAATTCAGGGGGGCTTATAATTCTGACTTCAACTGTATGTACAAAATTAAAACTCTGGGAGGAAACTAAATGTTCTGAATGCACTATGGCGTGGAGCGTGAGATGCACTCAACGTTGAAAACTAAAATGACTGATGACCGGTGTTTGGGGTAGCGCATTACAAGTAACGTGAGTTATGTAATAATATTACTTTTCTAAGTAACGAGTAAAGTAACGCATTACTATAAAAAATTAAGTAATAATATCTGAGTTACTTTTCTTAAAAATTAAACAAGTTACTTTTTATATTAACTAACACACTTTTAAAAATAGTTAGCAGAATTAAAATAGGTGTAATCACGCTGAATCACAATCGAACCGCGCACTGGAACACCTCTTCAGAGCACTCACACATGTCAAACGAACTGGGAAACGCGCCCGGGCACGGTTTGGATGGCCTAGTGTGAGTGCACACAAAAACCAAGATGTCAGAGCCTTACATTTCTGTGACAGAAGTATTCTCATTATTTTGAACACATGGAAGAAAAGGACAGTGATTTTACTGAATTAATAATACAAAAATACAAAAGTAGCAAACACATTGCTTTTAACTTTCTTTAATTTCAATATACGGCATGTATAGCATCAGGAAGTTCTCAGAAGGTAACATTATTCTAATCCTTTTTTAAATAGTTCATTTTTAAAGGTAAATGAAGGTGTAGGTTATACAGTTTGTAGTTAAATGCCGAACTCCTCTATTAAAAAAAAAAAAACAAAAAAACACTGCAAGTTCTGAAAGAGATCAAACCTCAGGCAGGTATGAAAAAGTAACTCAAAAGTAACTTAAAAGTAACTAATTGCATTACTTTCCATAAAAAGTAACGCAACTAGTTACTTTTTTAGGGAGTAACTTAACATTTTAATGCATTTCTTTCAAAAGTAACTTTCCCTAACACTTCTGACGACAACTTGAAGTATAGTTCAGAATCAAATAAACATTTTGGGATCCAAAAACAACTCCATTTATTCTGAACTTTGTTCTTTGAAACTTTCCAAACCTTTTACATGTCAAAAACAGCTGCATTACACACAACAGAAAAGGTTAAGTCTAAAAAAAGGATAATAGGAACACATTGTACTCGGCTGTCATGTAAACAAGGTGCACATGGATCCGTTTTTGACGTAAAAAGTGCCACAGAAATAAATCATTTCAGAATCGAATGCTGCCGTTCAGAGCAGAACCATTTCGGCGTCTTGTAATTATGGTAATCCAATCACAACAAGAACATGAGGATAAAAACAGAGTTTGATGTAAAACACTTATTCAGAGCACAAATCTCCCACTTCAGTCCAGCCAGACTAATGAGCACTTTAACATATGACTGGCCACATCTACAAACAAACAACCATTCAGTAAGCTGACGGAGGCGTCGCTTCTCAAATGAAAATGCAGAGAGTTTACTCAATCATTCAGGTAGCACATTTGCATAAAGTGTTTTCAGGTACACTTTACATAAAGGTACATTACAACTGTTTTGCTGCAAGTCATATTCGGTTGTAAGTTGATTTAAAGGGGCAGTTAATTAATACAGTATACCAAATAATATTAGTACAATTAAAATTAGAAAAATGTGTTCGATATATATTCACATCTGCATGCATCTGTAAAAGACTTATATGTTGCTTTAAATTCTACAAAAAATACTAAGAAAAGCAAGTGGTATATGTGTGTACACGAGCGTATACATGCTAGTCAGCACAGCAAGCCATTGAAATGAATGGGTTTCATAGCGCAGTGCTTTCAGCACCTTGTGTGAAAGCTGCCTCTGCTTCTTCCGTTGAACACTGAAATATCTTGGGGGAAAAACACCATTGACCTTCATAGGATTTTTTGTTCCTACAACAGATGTTATTGGTTGCTTTTTTGACATTGTTTAGAATTTATTATTTTGTATTCAACAGAAGAAAGGAGTTTATGACAAGTTATGTTGTGTTGGTAATGTCAAGTTTTAATGACAAAGACAGGTTTATAACCATCTAAGAGTGGGTAAATAGTGAGAAAAACTATCATTTTTGCATTTTTGAGTGAACTGTCCCTTTAAAATGTCATCAACAGTTTTAATGTTGTTCCAACTTAGTGATAATTACAATTAAAACAAAGGTTTTTCTAAACAAATGTGAGAGATTTCTATTATTTTCACCAAACTGGCATTGTTAGGGACTTAGGGAGGATTTATAAGTGTAAAAAGAATTAAATCCCTTTACAAATAATAGCATATGTACTTGACATAAATATAAAGTGAGCTGACGGATGTGTTTCTTCCCAAATTAACATGCGGAGAGTTTAGTGAATCATTCAGAAAGCACATTTGCATAAAGTGTTTTAAGGCACCACTTGGCATAAAAGTACATTACAACTGTTTATCTGCGAATCATATTCTGTTGTAAGTTGATTGGAAGGGGGAGTCCACAGTTTTTTAGATTATTAAAACAGTATACCCAATAATATTATGAATATTCAAATTCAATGTGAAAAATATGTTTTCTATATTCAAATCTGAATGGATCTTAAACACACGTATATGGTACTTAAAACTACAAAAAAAAAAAAAAAAACTACGAAAAAATAATAATCAGCAAGTGGTACATGTGTGTACACAAGCGTATACATGCTAGTCAGCACAGCAAGCCATTGAAATGAATGGGTTTCATAGCGCAGTGCTTTCAGCACCTTGTGTGAAAGCTGCTTCTGCTTCTTCCGTTTAACACTGAAAAATGTTGGGGGAAAAACACCATTGACCTTCATAGGATTTTTTGTTTCTATAATAGCTGTTATTGGATGCTTTTTTGACATTGTTTAGAATTTATTATTTTGTATTCAACAGAAGAAAGGAGTTTATGACAAGTTATGTTGTGTTGGTAATGTCAAGTTTTAATGACAAAGACAGGTTTATAACCATCTAAGAGTGGGTAAATAGTGAGAAAAACTATCATTTTTGCATTTTTGAGTGAACTGTCCCTTTAAAATGTCATCAACAGTTTTAATGTTGTTCCAACTTAGTGATAATTACAATTAAAACAAAGGTTTTTCTAAACAAATGTGAGAGATTTCTATTATTTTCACCAAACTGGCATTGTTAGGGACTTAGGGAGGATTTATAAGTGTAAAAAGAATTAAATCCCTTTACAAATAATAGCATATGTACTTGACATAAATATAAAGTGAGCTGACGGATGTGTTTCTTCCCAAATTAACATGCGGAGAGTTTAGTGAATCATTCAGAAAGCACATTTGCATAAAGTGTTTTAAGGTACCACTTGGCGTAAAAGTACATTACAACTGTTTATCTGTGAATCATATTCTTTTGTAAGTTGATTGAAAGGGGGAGTTCACAGTTTTTTAGATTATTAAAACAGTATACCCAATAATATTATGAATATTCAAATTCAATGTGAAAAATATGTTTTCTATATTTAAATCTGAATGGATCTTAAACACACGTATATGGTACTTCAAACTCTACAAAAAAAAAAAAAAACTACGAAAAAATAATAATCAGCAAGTGGTACATGTGTGTACACGAGTGTATACATGCTAGTCAGCACAGCAAGCCATTGAAATGAATGGGTTTCATAGCGCAGTGCTTTCAGCACCTTGTGTGAAAGCTGCTTCTGCTTCTTCTGTTTAACACTGAAAAATGTTGGGGGAAAAACACCATTGACCTTCATAGGATTTTTTGTTTCTATAATAGCTGTTATTGGATGCTTTTTTGACATTGTTTAGAATTTATTATTTTGTATTCAACAGAAGAAAGGAGTTTATGACAAGTTATGTTGTGTTGGTTTGGTCAAGTTTTTATGACAAAGACAGGCTTAAAACCACCTAAGAGTGGGTAAATAGTGAGAAAAACTTTCATTTTTGCATTTTTGGGTAGACTGTCCCTTTTAAATGTCATCACTAGTTTTAATGTTGTTAAAATTAGTGATAATTACAATTAAAACAAAGATATTTCCAAACAAATGTGAGCAATTTCTGTCAATTTGACCAAATTGGGGTTGTTGGGGAGGGTTTATTAATGTAAAAAAAACAATCTTTGCATAAATAATGGCATTTGTACTTGGCATAATTGTAAATGAAAAATAACATGGACAAAGCTATTACTTAAAATTTACCAAGAAAATCGGCTAAATATGGTCAAAAATTGTTCCGGTCAACTTCGTTAACACATAAAAAAGTTTTGATAATTGTATTTTATAAAGCTCGAGTCTTTTATTTTTTGTAATTTTTTGAACGAGATGCTAATGGTCTAACCTAATTCAATTCATTATGCTAAGCTAAGCTAATAATGTACCTGAATCATTAACTAAAG